TACATACATACATACATACATACATACATACATACATACATACATACATATGCGGCGGCACGACGTCGTGAGGCATGTAGCGTCACAGGCGGCTTTGGCGCAGGATGAGGATTTAGTATGTAAGGCACGTGTTCGCATCTGCCTTTATGAGCATTTCCCGCGATTCCGGCGTTTCGTCCTCATTCTCAGGCAACCTTGGTGCCGTGAAGCGAGGCTGCCTCGTGGAGGTGGGGCTCACGGTTTCGGGATTAAGGGCGTCGCCGATCATATTAAGGCCGGAGATATCTCATCTGCTCCTTATCCGCCGGGCTACGAGCCCGCCAGTAAACTCCGCTGCGTTTGTTCCACATAAATTACAAGGACTTTGCCGGTAGAGCACTTGCCGCGTGTCGTTCGGTGTGTACGCGGCCTTAATGCCGGAAGGGTCGTCAAACTTGCTATATCGTCGCGGCGGTGCGGCGGCGGGGGGAGGGGGCCAAGCCGTTTACGAGGCGGCCGGGTAAACCGATTTTAACGTTGGCCCTCGGGATCAGGCTTGCCCGACGACGTTGTAATTGCTTTTCGGATTATCACCGGTGAATCGAAACTTGCACTATGTCGCGCCGTGCATCGAAAGTAATGGGAACACGACGGTTCGATTTCGAGGAGGAAGGAGAGAACGATCCTCGCGAAAACCAGGAGAAATTTGACGATCGTCTGGTAAAGCGAAAACGTTGTTTCCTCGAATCCTTCGAGCGTCCGAGAGTTCCAAGTGCATATCGGATACTACCCTGGGAGCAGCAGTTGGGCCGCAGTTCACAACTACACAGTTTCGCGTGTAGACTGTGTGACACGATTCGCGCCAATTATGCCCGCTCTAGGTGGCTACTTCTTCGACACGATATTTGTCAAACAATCGGACAAATTCCAGCGTCATTCGCGTTTCTCAATTAACCGAGTAACTCGTTCGCCAGGACACCGAACTTCATAACGCGAACGTTCGCGAATTTCCGAAAAATCGGTGTCACGGGAGCAAAATGTAGACGCGAGGGACAGGGTAGACGGCCATTAATCACCAGGAAGTGACACGCGCCGGTTGCTGAAAATTCGCGAAAACCGGTCTACCGGTGCGAAGTCGGGTTGAAATTTCGCCAGTTTTCGGACGGCCGTCAATCCTCTTGGCCGACATAGGGAACAGTATCCGGTTATTACCGATATCGTTGGTAACGCGCGGCGTGTTTCGCCCCCGGGGGCCATCTTGCTTTCTCCTCAACGACGACGACGACGACTCGACGCGTCCGAGTCAACGAGACGGGAAACGTCGAGCGAGAAACGGCCGACGGACGAAATTGGATCCTCGGTTGTCGGGTAAATTGCCAGCGAGGCTGTTTCGCGCCTTGCCACGGCCGCGGCCGCGTTTTACGCAATAGCCACGGGGAAAGAAGCGAGGCGAGGCGGACTTGCTCGCGTGCCATCGTGAAATTTCACTCTCCGGCGCGATAAACGTCCCGTAACCGCTCGTAATTGCACAACCATCAAGTGTTCTCGTGGCGTGCAGCCTGGAAAAGTCGAGACTGTTCAAAGTGGCGCGAAATTCGACGCACATGGCCAACGACGAGGGTGCTCTGGATGGGTCTCGTTGAGGTTCCTGTTGCGAGAGATCTGTTCGCAACGTCGGCAGTGGCATATAGCGACGACGAGTCGCATTTTTGCCGATGTTTCGCGAATACAGATGAAAAGTTGATGGAA